TTATGATTTAACTTCAAATTTACTCTCTACCTTGCCAAGTAGGAGTCCCTTTTTAAAAAGAAAAAGGGGAGAATTATAAATCCATGTTTTTACTGGTAAAGATTGTGTTCGACCTGGTTTGAAAGAAAAACACTGATGCCAGTGGCAGTGAAGGGCGGCCAGGAGCCCCCCCCCCCCGCCCCGCTTTTGTTTTTCTGTGTCTGCAGATGCCCAGCCACGCAGGCTGCGCGTTTCACTAGCCTTAGCAGAGCACCTGCTGGTGCAGTCACTCCTCACAAATACGACAGTCACATGGGAACTCATGGTTGATAGATTTTTCAAAATCAACACTAAAACTGTAACTTGTTTTGAGAAAAAACAGGGAAATAAGTGCGTTCAACAGAGGGGTGTCTGCAGATTCTGATAAAGTGGCCTGGGAGCCGGGGGACCAGTGGTGAGATGAGCAGTGTTTATCTTGGAAATCCAGGCCCTGTGGTGGACCTCGCCTTGGGAATAAACACTGCAGAACGGTCACAGAAAGTGTCAAATCTCGGCTTTTTATTTACAAACAGTTACAATACTGCTTTCTCAGGAGGGACAAAGAATATCATCTTTAGACCCTGAGTCCCCAGGCCCCTCCCTAAGCCCTCTCAGTTCACAGTGGCATTTTACTGTCAGGTGGGATTTTTGTCCTGAAACGCTGTTGCCGGCCTCTCTAGAAGTGACATGGTGGCACCCTAGCAACAGACCAGAAAGCAGTCACCCATAAGTCACTCTCCCCTCACACGGGACTCAGAAAGCAGGAGCCCAGCCCGCGGCAGCTGCTGGTGCAGGAAGTAACGGCAACACACGCATGGACACCCCAAACAGGAATAAACTGTGAATTCAAACGAAAATAACACTGGACAGCAATGGCCAAGGAACTGCAAAAAGATTTCTCAGCTAAAAATGTGATGATACCAAAAATTTCACCCTGTGTCAGAGGTCAGCAATCTGGTCCCAGGGACACAGCCACCCTCACTCACGTGTGGTCCTTCGGCTGCTGCTGCACCCCATGGCGGGGAGGCATGACAGAGACTCTCAGTTGCTGTCTGATCCGTACAGAGGAAGCTGGCCGTTCCCGCCCTGCGGCCAGTCAGCCAGGTGGGGTTCTCACCAGAAATGTATGATTAACTGTTACTAGGAAGAGGCTTTTCTGCCACTTCAAGGCTGTGCATCGTCACAGCCCCCTCCCTGGGTGTAGGTCAGACGTGAGTGGATCTTGTAAATGATCTCTCCTTAAAAAATACTGAATTAGGTAGGTAAGAAGAGAAGTAGTAATACTCTTTAAAAGGGCCTAGTACGGGCCAGGCTCTTCCCATGACAGACGTCCAATTCTAACAGCCCTCAGAGGGCTTCCTGCCACCATCTTCCCGAACTACAGGCGCCGACACCGAGGCCGGAGATGCTGTGTAACCAGCACAAAGAACACAATCGCACTAACAGTAAGTGCCTGCACTACCCAATCGGCCTTTCTTCAAAGCTTCTTTATGTAAGGAGAAAGCATACAGTTAATCAAATGCACTGCTCGAGCCTTAAGTAGAAGGCATATAGTTAATGAAATCACTGCTTCCAAGCAGGTGGTACCGTGCAGTTAAGAGCAAATGCTATGAAGCCAGAATGCCTGGGGCTGGATCTTGACACCCCCTGTTATTAGCTGTGTGACTTAAGGTCTACCTGTCGGCTGACAGTAATGCTTCAATCGTATCACTGTAAGGTGTGTGTGAGGGTTAAGTGAGTTATAATATGTAAAGCACTTGGGATTGTGCCTGTTGCACAGTTCAGGGCTCTTTAATTATGAACTCTTACCAGGGGGTGTAAGATTAGGAGATCAGAATATACTAGTCGGTGAAGAAAACCTGTGAAGCAACATCTACATCCAGGTCAGAGCAAGGATACCTGTTGCTGAGCCAGAGTGCCTGCCTGGGAGAGTTCAAGCACCACGGGTATCCATCTGCTGAGGCCACAGAAAACACAACGAAGAAAGGCAGAGCATGGACAGAATGTGCCAGGAAAGACGTGCTTTCAGTCTACGGATCTGGCAGTCTGAGAAGAACTGCCTGAAACATCACTCCCAGTGGCCATGACTCCAGGACGCATCATTGAGGAGGCACGCGTTTGTCTGAACCACAGCTGGGTGGCTCAGTCCGTTCACTGGGAAGAAAAGTTGGCTTCCTGACAGCCACCGCGCGCCCTCAGCCTGCACCGAGATGTGGGGAGCGGGATCTGCGGAAGACTGTTTTCCACTGCATCGGGCAAGAGACCGAAACCTGAAGACAACACTGAATTTCCAAGAGCTAACAGCACGCTGTCGAAGAAAATTAAAATCCTGCATTTGTCATACGTGGCTGACCAGCAGGTCACTCAGGAAAGCATGAGAGAATGCACTGAGCTCTGAAGTTTCCCTCTCTGAGCATCTCCTCTCCCCGCGCTGGTTCACAACCCTCGCTGTTCCCTCTCCCCGGACCTGCAGTGCACCCTGCAGTGGGCCCTGCCGTGCGCGGGGTGGGCAGGGCTGGCTCTCACTGTGACTGGCTCCGAGCAGTGCGCGGCTCACTCTGAGCTATGACAGTCTCCCAGGACTTTTTCTGGGAAAGAGATGCCTCTGGGATTGATGAACCTGTGACCTGTCCATCTGTCTTCTTCAGCCGGTTCCACTTGGAAAGAATGAAGGCAGCACAAAAGAAAACAGAGCTAAGAGACAAAGAACGGAAAAGGGGAATGACCTTGCTTAGGCATGTGGGCGCAGCCATCCTGGAAGCGGCTCTAAGCCACTGGGCTTCCGAGTATCTCTGGCACCAATTGTCACCCTGGAAGCGGCTCTAAGCCACTGGGCTTCCGAGTTACGGAGACCAATTATCACCTAGAATCTCTGGCACCAATTATCACTTAGAATCTCCGGCCACTTCTTTGGCGTAAGCCAATTTAAGTTGAAGGTCTACAGCTTCCAAATGAAAGTCCTCTGACAAAAGTAAGTCAATACATAAGGACTAGACAGTAAGCTAAAGCTGCAGGTTGGTGGTGGGCTTTCCAATTCCACTGAGCAAACATGAACTGAGCCCAGCATGTCCCACCTAAAACTACTGGATCTGACAGCAGGCTTCTTATATAAGAGCCAGACTCGAACACCGTGAGAAAAGGGTGGTTTTGTTTTTGTTTTTAAGGAATCAAGTCTAGGCCTCAATCCTAATGATCCTCTGATTCACTTCTTTAGTACTAGATGTGGTTTAAACGGTGCTGTCCCTCGTGGAGGGGTCCTTTTGCATATACACATACATATACATATGTGTGTGTGCATGTGCATCCCCTAATTGTCAGCTCACATAATAAATGACCTACGATTTGCAGATTAGAGTAGAAATACGTTTGGCTAATTAACAAAATGCTTTAAATGGGTCAAATTGGAAAACTACCCGTTTTCCTGTGACTTTAAAATTGAAACATGTCACCAAATGTATTGACAGCAATTTTATAGTTCTGAAGACTTTATACAAATAAATCCTGGTTTTGGATGTTCACTGGTCTTTCTATAGATGAGTGAAATCAGCACCAAGATGGAACTTAAAAGTGGTTTCTACAAAGATCTTTTCCTCTTAATACCTAAATAGGAATTGGCAAACGATCAGGAAATAACAATACAAAGGTTCTATAATGAGTGATTCATAAGAGAACAAGGCCCAATAGCGCTAACTTGAATCATAATAACTGCAAAGTGTGTTGCTTAATTTAAAATAAAATATCACTGATCTTGACTTGCTATTCAGAAACAACTGTAGGCATCTCTTCCTAAAAAATGGTGAGTACTTTCATTTTCAATGAACACATAGTGCTGTTAAAGTGAAATATTAAAGCTGGGAAGCTATGAAACAAATCCATAGATTTCTACTCATGAATCGAAACATGATATTCACCAAAATGTCTTGCAGGTAACACTAGCTCTACCTCTAAGGTGGCTTTAGTACTACATTTGTACCCAAGACCATAAAGACAGATAGATTGTCCTAACAATGTGAAGTCCGCACAGGAGCAGACAGAACCTCCACGCCAATTAGCCTGACTCTTTCCTGAGGCATGAATGAGAGTGAAAAGCCCGAAGAGAAGACCCCCCCACACTCCATTTGTAACCATCATGCACCCAGATCTAGAGGAGTCGTATCTGTGCATGTATTTGATTGTTCCGTGGTATAGAAATATATTAAACATAATGTATTAACTTTCAGTCTACATATCTATGACTCAACGATATTATCGATATACTTACAAGATGTCAATCATGTAGGGCAGGTAAGGGAAATATTAAGCTGCAGTGCAAAGTATTTCACTTCAGGTGACACATCAATAACTTCCAGAGGTACTTGACACGTGTTACAGGTTCAAACAAGATAACCCAAATTTTAGTCATACTTCAATTGTAGAAATTAAAGTTACTGCACTCCCCACACAAGGACAAGGATGGGAACACAAGTCAACAGCAATATAGAAAGATAAGAATCAAGCTGTCAGCATTTCCTCAGCAGCCACTGTTTATGTTTATAAAGGCATTTGTGTGGAAACACAGAAGAGGCCCAATCAACAGAAGCTGCCAGTGGCCAGTAACTGGCACCAATTTTAGAAAAGTCGGCTAGTGAGTAGTCACTGGTTTGTTGTGTAGGGACATGAATAAAAGTGAAAACTAACTGCAAGTTTAATGTTGGGAGAATTTTTTTTAATCACTTTCCTTCTGAAAAGAAAAGGGGTGAACACAGGCTCTTACTAATAAGTGCGTCACCGCCCTTGGGCGGGTGCACCCCTTGCTCTCCACAGGGCAGGCCTCCCTCCAAGTTGTGACCATTCCCGAGACGGTGTGCCTGACCTTGAGATGCCCAGTCCCTCTCAAAGCAGTCGTGTGACACCCTCCAGCAAACAGGCATTTGATGAGGAAAAGCATGGACGGGGGAGGGGATGGCTACGAGAAGAAGCAAGCACTGTGGAACCATTCTTACTTCAGAAACGATGGGAAATCTTCGCACACTGCTTCACAGCCTGGCCACTTGCACACACCGTGTCCGTACAGCGGATGGCTGTGGGGGTGCTCCTCGTGGGGCAAACTGAAAGAAAACACACAGGGGCTCAGAGAAGGAGCCTGCTGCCAGGGACCACCCCGCCACAGAACCCACAGAGGCCAAAAGGAACCCAAAGCCAACAGGAACGACTCTGAGCTCCCTTTCCCCAGGAATTTCACTCATTAACTCTGCACTGTTACTTAAAAGCAAGAGTTAAATGCCCAAGTGCCAACAGTGCAATGTTAGAAACGTGCCACCGTGCAGAAAAAGTGTCTGACAGGCTTTGATTAGATGCAAAGCTCTCTGCTCAGACTGCGAAGGATTCTTTAAGGAGCTAGAACTTATCTTTTAATCTGCACAATGAAGTTGCAAAATCTGTACTTAATTTTGATTCTCTTTCTGTTTTTTACCCAGATTATACATTTTTCTCTTCCCTTCCACCATAAATTACTTTACCATAATTCACACAATCTTTTCACAAGTTAATTTTGTCAAACAAACAATAGTGCAATTAGATAATTGAGAATAAAATACTTCAGAAAGACAAACATATCCAAGTAGATAATTAGCTTAAAAGAAAAAAAAGGTAATAATGGCAAGAAGATCATATCCCTGAAATGGCTGACCCAATTGTGAGAGAAAACTTGGCAAGAACAAGAAAGGGGTAAGCCCCCAGTGGGGTTCCAATGGATCCAACGATCTGGCCCATGGACCAGTCATGGGACCCGGCCGCGTGCACTCGGGGAAGCACAGCTGTGCACTCGCTGATGAACCACATTCTCCAGGATTTTCTCTCCCAGGTCCTGCAGCTAGACTTCTTTCAGACCAAGTATTTTTACAGTCGTTTCCATAACTGTTTCCATCAAATAGAAATATAAAACTAACACCGAAAGTTGTGTTTTGTGCACAAGCACATTCTCTCAAGGATCGGGCTATTTTGCAACTTTTTCCACTGCCTCTTCCTGACTTTTAACTTCAAGCACAGGGAATTCTCTCTCTCTCTCTCTCCTCTCTCTCTCTCTCTCCAGAGAATCCTCTCTCTCTCTCTCTCTCTCTCACACACACACACACACACACACACACACACACTCACACTCTCACACATGCACGCACGCACTCCTGTGCACACACAGGAGTCTTGTATTTTATTTTATTATTTAAATTTTTTTTCTAGAGAGAGGAGAAGGGAGAGAAAGAGAAACATCAATGTGAGAACGTCGATTGGTCACCTTCCTTACGTGCCCCAACCCGAGATCTAATCCAAAGCTTATGTGCCCCAGCGGGGAATCAAGCCCAAAACCCTGTGGTACACGGGACAACGCTCCAACTCCGGAGCCAGGTCATGAGTCTTGTATTTCATATCACCACTAGGATGTGTATTAATATATTTTATTGATTCATATTCATACAGCAGACATACACAAATGCCACTTGTCCCTTACTTGTAATTACTCCACAGTGAACATTAAAAATAAACACACTCATGTAGCTGTAAAAAAGAAGGATCTTTTACCCTCTGAGACAGTATGGAGGGATCAGGAGGGTATTATGCTAAGCGAAATAAGCCAGTCAGAGAAAGATGAGAATCACGTAATCTCACATATATGTGGATCTACTGAACAAAATAAACTGACCAAAAAAAGAGATCTAGAGACATAGAAGCATGGAACAGACTGACGAATTCCAGCGGGAAGAACTTACATGCATATATGCATTGCCCATGAACAGACAATAGTGTGGTGAAGGCCTGAGGAGGAGGTGGGATCAGGGTAGAGGGGGTCAATGGGAAAAAAGGGGGACCTTACAGTATTGTTGTAATACTTTCAACAATAAAGATAAACTTTTTAAAAACCATGAATATTAAACACACACATACACAGAATGACACCTCAACAAAGATCAATAGATCTCCCTATGGCCTTTGAATGATTTTGCTGGAAATCTAATATGATTTGAAAATAATAAGCTATTTTGCCTTAAAATAGAAAATAAACCTGGGAACAACAACAACACACCCAACCCTGTACAAAACTAACTTAGGAGAGCACTGAGGGCGCCCCTCACAGAGACCAGAATAACACAGTAAACTAAGATGGCCATAGCGAGATTTACGAAAAAGCCCGAGGGCAGAAGGGTAAAATCCCACTGGACTGAAGGAAAGAACTGCTATTATCCATGTTCTCCTTCATACTTTTTTAAAGGAGTAAAATAGATGCAACCATTTTAGATGATGGATAGTAATAAAACTTATTATGATAATCACTGTATCATCTATGTACGCAAGTTATTAGGGTGTACAACTTATACAATGCTGTATATTAATTGTATTTCAATAAAACTAGAAAAGTAGGTGACACAACATAGAATTTAAAGAGATTGACAATATTTGAAATTAAAAAAAATCCTTCTTACTAGAATTCTCACATTCTGAGAAAAGTAGGTGACACAACATAGAATTTAAAGAAATTGACAATATTTGAAATTAAAAAAATCCTTCTTGCTAGAATTCTCACATTCTGAAAGAAGGAAATCATTTAAAAAATAATGTTATTACAAATAGCTTAAAAAGAAAAGACAAATCTTAACCATATTAACTTTTTTCCTTACCAATTTTATTAAGATTGTTAAGGTATTTTAATGTTAACAGTTAATATATGTTAACTACAGAAAACTTGGAAAATGTTGAAAATAAAAAAGTTATACTTATACTCATACATATTTTTGACAAATTAAAGCATGAAGTTTATACCATTCTTTTATAGCCAATGTAATTTTGTAAATAAGTCCTCATGGTATCAACCAGTCTTCAAGTACCTTACTTACTGATGTGTAAAGACTAGTCGCATGCCAAAATTTCTCTAACCTTCTTCTGCTTGGACATTGAGAGTCCTTTCCTGTTTCCTTAATTTATGAATAATGTCAGAAATAAATTTTATCAGGCTAAACATCCAAGTATATAACTGATTTTTACCAGAAGATACATTCAGAGAAATGGGATCACTCAGTTAACAAGTACTAAGTTTTAAAATTTACTATGAATATTCTTCAAGTTGCTCTTGAGAAATGCTACATGCCAACTCCATTCTTAGCCATTACACATATTTTTGTGTGATTCTTTAAACTGGAAACCTGAAACCTCAACTAGAGAGTAAGGATATAAAATTAATATCAATACAGGCATACCTCGAGATATTGTGGGTTCGGTTCCAGACGACTGCAATAAAGCGAATATGGCAATAAAGTGAGTCACGCATTATTTTGGTTTCCCAGTGTATATATAAAAAGTTATGTTTACACTATTCTATGGTCTATTAAGTATGCAATCGCATTATGTCTAAAACACCAATGCACTTACCTTAATTAAAAATACTTTCATGCTAAAATCTGCTACCCACTATCTGAGCCTCCAGGGAGTGATCACCTCTGTGGCAGGGTTCCACAAACCTTCACACTGAAAGACAACACCTCCAACAAAGGAGTATCTCCGAAGTGCAACAAAATGAGGGATTGATGTGTAGCCCAACACTGCAACTGCTGGTTCTACTGTGCTTTCTGGGTTCAGCTGAGTGTTCTGAAAATAATCCGATGAAAGGAAATGCTACCCACTCAGTAGAGGAGCTTACGGCTACAAGAGGATGTGCATGATTCCCCGTGGTGCTTGCGCTCCCCACACGCCTAGGTTTTGGTTAACATATTTATGAAGGCGCCATGGCTTGAATAAAAGCTACTATGCACTAAGAATTTATTTTTTGTTCAACCTGGTCAGGAAGGACAGATGACAACTGACTGAGGCCTCGGAGGGACAACCAGTGACCCCTGAAGTCCAGAGAAAGTCAACTCCTCACACGCAGAGTCCCACACTCAGAGTCCGCTTAAAAAAATTGCCTCTGCATTAAAACTATGTTCTTATTATGAAAAGATTATCTGCTCTTATTTTTTTTAAGTTCATATGACTGCAGGCTCCCGACGGAGCACACGCCTCTCCCCAGCCCAGCAGCCGCCCGCATTCTGCACCGTGCCCGCATGGCCTGCTCACGCATCCCTCGTCTGCCAAGTAGAAACACTCACACTACCGTCACTTGCTTCTCCCTGTTAATATACCACTGGATACTTTTAAATACACAATTGTCTGAAATGAAGTGCTCAGCTTTGGAAACAAGAGCAACAGGCCTGCAGGGGACCTGGCCAAACTACTGGAGAAAGATTCTGTAACAACTGCCGCCCTTGGGGCGGGGCTGGGAGGCAGGTGGTCATTTTTGGTTTCCGGTGAAGTTGTTATCTTGTGTGCTGCAGGAATTGTTTGCTGTGCAACGGTAACTTCTCATATATAAACACACGTCCATGAGAAGAGTCAGTGCTCTGCCCTCGTCCCCTGGGCCTCCGGCCCCTCCTGTCTGAAGCCCCGTCACCCCACCAGGCGGACTGAGTCCGTCTCAGGAGAGTGGGGCTAACACTCAAGTTCGGATTGCCTTTGGGGACCTGCCGGAAAGGACAAGGAGGGGACTTCAAAAACAAGGGAAAGAAGGTTTTTACCCTGAACTGATTAGGAGATTTATAGAATGAAACATGGTGGGAAAATGACCACGTGTATCCAATGTCAAATAAGTCCTGTGAGCCAATCACATACCTAAACGGTTCAAGGACCACTCTTGGGGGAGGGGGCGGCTTTGCAGCTGCCTGGGCCAGGGACAAGTAAAGACGTCCCGGCTCTGAAGGAATGAAACTTGTTGGCCCCAAGTTAAACTTCTTAAAATTGAGATTCAGTTGCTTAGTAAAGTGTCTCTCACTGTAAACTCCCGGGCTGGAAATTCCTAGGGACAAGGGTTGGGTCTAATTCATCTCCACACGCTCAGTACCTCCCACAGAACACAGGCCAGGAAGTGTTATGGACTCATGAATGGACAGACAGGACATAATGACATCATTCTACTTAATTTCTATACACTGAGCTGTGCATCCTTGTTTTTTGGAAGGTAGAGACCTGTGTTAGTATCATTCATGCAATTAAAGGTAATGACCAGAATGATGCCCATGCATTGGAGAAA